TAAGAATGAATATACTATGAATACTTCTTTGTTTCCTCACAACATGGGTTGGAAATGTTCATGAGAGAATGGCTGGCCTCCACCTGAAGTCTGACTCATCACAGTCCCCTAAGTCAGTTGCCTGAGTAACTTTTCTACTCTCCCATCAGCTTTGAGATGAAGTGCCCCAGACCACTCCTGAAGGAGATCCCATGACTCTCCAGTACCCCCAGCTCTGTCGTGTGGTAAGGATTCAAGTCTCCCTGTGACTGGAGAGAAGCATGGGAGGACAAGGGAAAGGAGGCACTGCCACCTACTACTAGATACCTTGATACATATTTGCAACTCAGAGAAACCTTTTCCTGAGAAATACCAACTCTAGTCTTGCTGGTTAAGTATAGTGATTCTTCAGGAGGTCCAGGTCTATTTTGTTCGGATGTCTTTGTGGACAGTTCCTCTCCTGTCTGCCCTACCGTCAGGTCCTTGATACTTTGAGGCCTGGCCCTGATCTCAGCACCTCAGGGAGATGGCAGGAAGACAGAACTGAGACATGTGGTAACAACTCCAAACAATGTAATTACTTATGTAGGAAGAATGTCTGGGCCCCAACATAAACCAATCATTTCTTTTCAATAACACCAGTAGGAATCCAGGCCTGTTGTTTGTGCTTACAGGCCTACCCAGGTGTGAAGTCAAAATGTGGTTCTGGGATTGCCTGGGTTGGGCTCCTGGCCAATGGCAAAGCCCACGCTCATTGCCTCTTCCTATGGATGGAGACTGCACAAGGACACTCCCTCATCTGCAGCCTGGAGTGGAGGGTCCCAGGGTCCTAGCTTTCTAGGGAACAGATATGCTTCTGCTTCTGGGATATTTTCAGATAAGCCAGCACAGTCAGGGTTAAGGTACTGCAAATCTGGGTAATAAAGGAGACTTACACACCTCTTCACTTTTCATTTAAATCTGTTTAAATTTTGAGGATCTTTCCATTGCTAATTTGTTATGGTAATATTAATGAATAGTTGATTCAGCTCGTAGCAATCTGGGTGCTGCTTCTTTTGAGTAAGAAGAAATTAGTGCAAGAATGAGATTAGGAAAAATATACCCCACCACTCTGTACAGTGGTCCAAGGCAGCTGGGGTCACCTGGATTCTCTGACGACAGAGACACAGTGCCCTGTCCCACAGGGCAGCTGCTGCTGGGGTAGTCACATACTTGGTCCCCTTCGGCTGCAGCGAATTTTAGGGAGAAATTCTATAAAATGAGATCACACACAAGGGCTCTAATCCAAGCATACTGTAAAATGCCGAGACTTAAAAAAATGGCTCATTTCAATTTCTTTCTACATTCCCATGCTTTCTCTTCCCTCCTTGTTGTAATACGTACATTAGAGTAGCAGTTGTAATGTCACACTGCACAAGCATGTTGGGCTGGTGAAAACTGGTTTGCGCTGAGACAGCAGGCATGATTTTCCCTAAAAGGATATCTACCAGCCTTGGTCAAAGAAACCCACCTTCAGGGCGAGTGCTTAAAGGCACATCTCTCTCTTATTTTGAGGGGAAAGTGCATATTAGTTGTCTTTGGGCACTGTAGACATGGATTTTCTTGACATAGAAATTTTAAGAAAGTAAGCTAGTAAAGGAAATAAAAGTGAATGAGTCCACAAACAAACCAGGGTCACTATGCACACAGGTAACAGTTACTTAACAAGCATAGGCCTTCATTCTCATGGAAAGGAAGTGCCGCAAGATACGTTTCTATTGTGGAATTTAGGCTTTCTAATTACAGCTCTTTCTAGGGTAGAGGCGGGAAGTGAGTGCTGGGGAGAGAAGGAATTTTTTTGTATGATTTTAATGATTTTAAATGGTGATGCCTCTTTAATGAACATGTAATATTCTCACAGGGTCATGAGTTTAGTTCCAAGTTTCTGGCCAGTCCAGAGAAATCTTGCACCAACTCCAGATGAAGACAGCATGAAGGATTTGGATTGAATCTCTCAGATATCTCCTAGGGAGCCATGGTCCTGATCAATAGTTATTGATGGAGCCCCTGGCCTATGTAGCAATCCCTATGTGTTTATTTCTGTTTCATGTTTCATAAAAATTAACAAATGCTTGATTTTAACACTCTCTTTAAGAGTCAGATCTCAAAAAAAAAAAAAAAAAAAAAAAGGAAGGTGTGAAGTTATCCTGGTTCTGAGACATGCCCCCAGAGATGGGAAATGGTGAAATTAAGATCCTAGTGAAATGATGTCACTTTGACTGTTGGAAGGCTGCTTTAAGTGTTTTCAAGAAGTTGATATTTTGGATTATGAGCCTAATGACCATGGTCATGCTTGTAGACATACTCTACAGGTCTTGGGGCTGAAGTTGGGGAGATTCTGATTCCTTATAATGGTCCTCACCAGAACCTACTCTGCTCTCTTCCCTCTGCCCTCTGCAGGCTGAGGCTGAGAGCAGTCATGATAGATTCCAAGGGGGTTCTATGTTGTATTGACAGGGTGGTGTAGAGGTGAGAGTTCTTTGGCGAACGAATAGGGGATCAATGCTCTACAGATAAAGGCTCCACCACGATGCATAAGTAAAAGATCCTATGGCGTATAGAAGGGAGGTCCTGAGATCTATACGTGGGGGCCTCATGATGCATGGGCTGCATCTACAGGGTCTCCAAGATGCACAGAGGTTCTTGAAGGATGGGTTGTTTAGGTAGATCAGCATTTACAGTGATAATGGGAATCTTTCCTCTTTATTTCCCCATCCCCCCACTGAATCCAGATCCTATTTAGGACTGGATTTTAATTTCATAAAACTCCTGGAAGTTCCCAGTCCGGACTCCCATTGTTATCCTTGGCCTCCACCCAGCTGTGGGGAATACATCCCGAGGGGAGTGAGCTGAGAGGATAATGAGCCTCCTGGCATGGCGGCATGCCGGGCGTGATGAATGGCCCGCAACCCTGGAATTGCTCTGTGCCCTTCATCATCCAGTCGGAGTGGTTAGCAGACTGTCAGGGAAAAATAATTTAGCAACCGGGGCTTTAACTGATGTGCTGCATTCTGGGGTCAAATGACTATTACAAAGTAGTAACACTGCCTGGTTTCTCCATCGTGAGAGCTCACGGTTGACAACATGAAAGAAGGAGGCATCACACCCAGAATTCACTGACATCCTTCAATTTCACACGGTGGGAAGCAGGGCGGGGGGGCGGGGAGAGAAAGAGAGAGACAGAGACAGAGACAGAGACAGACAGAGAGAGAGGGAGGGAGAGGGAGGGCGATGGAGGAAAAGGGAGGGAGAAAGAGGGGGGGAAGGAGAGAGAGGATACATTCTACTGAACAGAAAAAAGACCCAGGCTTGGCTGGATGCCAACCTTGGCAAATGGCACTAGGCTGGAGGGGAGTGGAATAGAAATGGAGGAAGGCATCCACAGACACTGGTTAGATGGTGTCTCAGGGAAGATGGCAAGAGAGACTAGCTCACCAAAGTCCCACCAAAAGTCACAGGCGGTCTCAGCAGAGGTCAGCCCTCAGTCCTTATCTAGGCAACAAGGCATAAAGTCCCCTCATAGCTGTTTGGGATGATTAGAGGACAGATCACAGAGGAACAGAAGAGGAAGGAAGAAGAGAGGAAAATCAAAGGCAGAGGGCAAAAAAGAGAGCAAGCGAGGGCCTAGAATTTCTCGATAGCAGGCGCACAGGGACTTACAAAGAAGTTGTTCTCTTTTCCAATGTCTTATTTTTTAAATTTTACTTTGACTTTGTATTTATTTGAAGGTAACTTGGAAGCCAAGACCAATGGTTGAAGCCCCTCTCACCTGCTCCTTCGCAGAACCAGTGAAGGTTCCAGAAATGATTGACATTAAGAGAGAAAATGAAAGGCAGAGGCGGCAGGATTTGCACCCATCCCTTGATCAGAACTCATTGGTTGTTTATGACCTCTCTCCTCACCCATCCCAGCTCTGTGATCAGCAGAACATCTGCCAGACCCAGGCCCTCTCCCATGTCCACTTCCAGACAAATAGGTATTGCATGAATGAATGAATGAACGCTACACCCAGTCATGACTCCCCGTGAGGGATCCCGTTTCCATTACTGTGTCCTCATGTTGAACCCCTGCCCACTAGCTGAGCTTTGGGTGGTATCTGGTGTTTCTTAACAGATTTATGATCTCCCAAGACAACATCATCTATTCTGTTCCAGCTGTTGTGATGGAATGAAATGATGGAAGGGGTCGCTGTAAGAACTTGCAGTTATTAAGTACTCACAATGTATCCTGCACTGGGCTAAGTGCCTTTTAACTATGTAAAGTGTTCCTTGTCCTTGATTGATGTTCAAAAAGAATAAAGACAATTTCTGCATCTACGACATTAGTGCTGCCCACAAATAGGTCTCAAAGAAGTATAAAAAGATAATTTGCATAAATAAGCAACTAGAAGACTCTAGTATGGATGAGGCATGACAGTCATTCTTTGTCACAGTGTTAGACATCTTTCTTCCAGGGGTCCAGGTAAACTCAGGTAAGAATGCAGATCCACCGGGGCTTGGAATGTAGCTCAGTGAGAGTGTGCTGGCCTAGCATAGAAAGACCCTGAGTTCCAACTCCAGCACTACTCTCCCCCTCCCCCCCAAAAGAGCAGATTCATAATTGTACAAGCAAAGACGAGAGAGTCCCATATTTTCTCATTTCTGGTTTCCTCTGCCTTCCACCACCTGCTTCTCCCTTTGACCTTGGGCCCCTGCCTGACTTCTACCACAAGAGCCTCCAGTTGGGGCAGAATCTGGGGGACCTCCAACGGCACAGCCTCCCCCCCCCTCCCAATCTGTTGTGACTTCACACGGGTCATGCATGGCCCAACATACCAAGGTGACCTCCGATCTTTTCTTCCACCTGCTGAGTTATTGGAGGAGGGCCCTGCCTGTTCCCCAATCCAGAGGAAGGCAGGGGGGATCCCACCCCACCCCCTCCCCACCCCCCCCAGTCCATAGCCGGCCCAGCATCCTTTCCACCTGGCACCTGCCAACGCTCACCTGAGGCAACAGGTTACTTTTACTCCGGCCGGGGGTGTGTCCGGGCAGCCGGATGTCGAAGAGGGCCTGCAGGGCGGCCTGCGCCGCCTGCCCCTTGGCTAGCTTCTTGCTGCGTCCAGAACCTTCGAACGTCCTGCCGTCCACGCACACGGCCATCACAAAGCTCTTGGCTCGGGGCCTCTGGCTGGTCTCCGAGAGGCACACGTAGCGCAGGCCGGAGCGCAGCTCGTTCAGCACCACCACCGGGTTGCTCTCGCCGGGGGTCCCCGGGGGGCGCGCGGGGCCCACCAGCTCCAGCGCGCGGCACAGCAGCCGCCCGCGCCCGGGGTGGGGGTGGTGGGGGGCTAGGCGGCGGGGGGCCCGGGCCTCGGGGTGCACAGCCGCGTCGGCGGCGGGGGCCGGGGACTCGAACTCCTTGAACAGCGTGTCCGGGAAGTCGGCCTGGTCGGAGGTGAAGTCTGGGCAGGGCCCGGCCGCGCCGCCCAGCGCCGGCTGCGCCTGGCCCGCGTGGGGGAACTGCACGAAGGACTTGAGCGCCAGCTCGGCCGCGCGCATCTTGGCCTTCTTCTTGGTGGGGCCCGTGCCCTCGAAGGTGAAGCCGTTCACCTCCACGGCCACGGCGAACACGGGCGCGTGCACCGGGCCTGTCTGCGACACCATGCGGTACTGCAGGCCGGGCTTCAGCTCGTGCAGCTGTACCAGGGCGTTCTTGGGGGTCACGGACCAGGACAGCCTCTTCCAGATCAGCTGCAGCTTGCACAGGTGGCCGCCCCCGTTCCCCTCCTCCAGGGGCCTCTTCCTTTTGGTGCTGGACGGGCCGCCTCTGGCCCTGTCCCCCGGCGTCAGCGGCCGGGGCGCCAGGTTGCTCACATTTCGGTTTTCCTTCACGTCCGCGCTGCTGGTACCTGGAGGTTAAACACACGGGAGTCAGGATGACCCGGCTCTCCATGAAGCCCGGATGCTGTGGACTGGGGTCTCCAGATCCATGGCCTGGGAAGCCTCGGGCATTGAGCACTGCCCAGTCAGGCCGGTGAGCAGGACGCAGCTTTGGGGACTTGTGGCCCCACGTCCCTGTGAGGCTCGGAGGTCTGAGGCTGAGAAACACCTCTGCTCATCCACCTGCATCCACCTGCGTCCACTGACATCCACCTGCATGCTACCTGCGTTCACCTGTATGCCATCTGTGTCTACCTGTGTCCACCTGCGTCTACCTGCATCCACCTGTGTCCACCTGCATCCACCTGTGTCCACCTGCATGACACCTGCATCCACCTGTGTCCACCTGCATGACACCTGCATGCCAGGAAGCATAGGTGCTGGAGCTCCAGGGTGCCACTTGTTTACTGGCTAGGATGACAGAGCTAAGAGTTGCCATCATCCTCTAGCCATGGGTCTGAGCTGCTTCCTGTCTGACCCTCTGCATGAAAATGCTTCTCAGCCCCACCTGGATGACCCAACAGCCCTCTGGGATCTGTCAAAGGCTACAGGTGCTGCCATGTGGCTTTAGGCTTCATTTGGAATGTGGTTCTGAGTTCTCCCTGTCAGAGTCACCCGTGACCAGTCAGCATGTTTGCTACACCCTTCATTCCCTGATAGTCAGGCTGTGATTGACTGTACAAAGCCCATAGGTCTAATTGCACCAGGGGCAGCTCCAGGCAGGGCTGCGGCTGCAGCATAGCTGCATACCAGGGTCCCAAAGAGCCTGCATGGCAGCGGGGTCCCCTTGATTCCTGCCCAGGGGATTCTTGCCATCGGATAGGCAGAGCTTTAAAATAGGCCAATAATGCCCAGTGTTTTGGGGGCATGCACCTGTAGATTGTTTGGTAGTAAGGAGCAACAGTATGTGGAAAGCGTCTCGGGAGACCCCCACTGAAGCTGAGGAACCCACATGACCTCCTCATCAATTCTACCAGCAAGGCTGACTCCCAGGGTAACCTCTGTACACAGAAATAGGTGGACAAAGACATTCATCATGGCATTATTTGGCAAAATTTAGGAAAATATCTAAATACGTGGCAACCCAGTCATACTACAGAACAGAATATACAATTACATCTGATGGATAATTGCTTCAACAAGTTAATTTCAGACATATAGCAGTATGTGACACTCAGCTTGCAAAGAATTCAGAATAGAATACAATTCCTTGAATACAAGGACACTAGCAATGCAGATGACTCGTGTAATCAGACCCAATGGTAAAGCTGTACATATACATTTAATAAAGACAGAGTCCAGTTTCCTCTGGGGTGAAAAAGAGGGAAAAGCTAAGGAAGAGATAGAAGGTGAAACCATTTGTATTTTAATGTCTTATTTCCCTTGCAAAAAACAACAACAACAACCCCCCCCCCCCCAATGATCTGAAGTAAATTTAGAAAAATCATCATTTACTTAACTGTAGGTGACAGATGCATCTAAAGATAATGTAATTTGTCTGGACACTGTTCCGTTTAGGAAAAATTTCAGCCATAGATTGTCACATAGCCTCCCGATCTTATTGGGGCCTGTGCTTCTGGAATGCTAAGCTCTTAAGTTCATTAGAAAATATTTGGAGAATTATACAGCGAATAGCATCACAATATCATTGCCTTTTCTAAGCCCTAGCAGGTTTGTGTCTTTACCCAGAACCTAGATTTTGCTACTGCTTCTTCAAGTCAGCTCGGGGTGGGGGGGGGGGAGGGGAGGCAGTGAACGTGGGCACTATTTCATAGGTGGATAAAGGAAGCTGAGAGAGGGGAAGTCGCTTATGAGGTTACTTAGAGTGTTAATTGGTCCAGATGTGACTCATTCCTAGAGACCTCAGGTTGCTCTTCTCTGTGCTGGTGTTGTAAGCTATTTATCTTGACACTGTATAGTTCCATCATTTTTTTTTTCTTTTGGTCATTTTATAGTAAGCCCCACCCCTTTCTGGACCACTAGGGATGATGATGGTATTGTGACCACAGTCTGCCTGAGTCCCTGACCAGGCAAAACCATACACTGGTTTCTCTTATGAACCTTACACCTGTCCCCAGAGACCAGGAGGTCTTAGCTTCGTGGAGGCTCTATGGCAGGTAAGAATGAGTTATTTCTGTGCCCTTCCCCGCCCCCCCCCTTTAAACAAGCGGGAACTCAAAGTGTTTTGTTTTGTTTTGTTTTTTAACGGCTAACCCACAGCCTAAAACACAGACATTGAGTGTCTGGATGGTTGTTGACTTACTTGCCTAATTCAGCCTGAAAAGCTTTTTGGGGTGTGAAAAGGCTGACTTCCCCCCTCACCTGCCCCTCCCCCCTCCTTGGTTTATGCCATTGTTGTTGGGGAATAATAAAGAAGAAAGTACAATTTCATCTCACCAAAGGACACCTTTGTAAAGCCAGGTGCCTTGAGGAGATATCCTGACATTTGAGATTGTTCTTTTTCAAGTTGTATGCTTCTTGCTCTTAGCTCTGTTTTAATCTATCATAGGTCAGGCAGCCACATACATGTATCTTTGTGTATCTATGGAGGGACAGAATCACCCGTGGGAGATACTGGAGCCCACTTTCAAAGAAATTTCAGGTTCCTGTTTGTTTAATTTGCTAAGTTGTAAACTGGTTCTACTTTTGTCCTTCTTTTATTTGCTACTAGATATATTAGAGTTGGGGAGGCAATTTTGTGCAAAAGTGTGAATCTGAGAGCTTTGTAAGTGCACAGCATGCGTCCGTAATATGTTTCAGTAGAAATAATTACCTTCCAAAGAGCAAACACCAACTCCCCGCCGCCATTTTTTTTGTGAATTGTTATGAGCTTTGAGCAAACATCACAGCAACTAGTTCTACCATTTAGGGAGTTTCAAGCCAAGGGGGAGTAGCTAAGATTAACCATGTGAGTTTCCCAACTGAAGTTAAAAAATGGAAAAACGAACAAACAATACACTGCAACCTCCCCTCCTCCCCCCATCAGATTGCCTGGAAACTTGGTTGGAGTGCTCTAATTTCTTATTGATTTCTTACAACATGGGGATTGATTGAGAGTGTCAGTGTGCTTATAGCAGCCAGCCTATCAGATTACCCGTTAGATCTTGGAGAACTGAACTCACAGAACAATACTTTTCCTTTCACCTGCACTGAAATTCTTTTTATTCTCTCTCCTGCCCTAGCTCTTAGTAGCTAAATGGCTACTGTAGTGACATATTTCTGTAGCAGAAGCTATGATAGTGACATTGTGCTGTGAGTCCCTTTCTGAATAATTGATGAGATGGAATCTTTGCTTCCTGTCCTTAATACTCACAAGACTTTCTAGGAGTCGAGGCTACTCAGTATTTAGGAGGGTAGCATCCTTTCCAGGGGCCTGAATGCTAGCCTGAATTGGCCAGCAGAGCCCAGCATGGACTGGACTCTTCCTTCTGTCCCGTAAGCCTCAGGATGTAAAACAGGTAAGTGAGCAACAGTCCTTTAAGCATTTATGCTTCTGTAACTTTGAGCGTGACCATTCCAACTCAATTTTTTAATGACAGAAAAGTAAATATTTTAATAACATTTGCCTCATCAGGTAAATGAGGGTGACTAAAATCTGCATGTATAATTGGACTGAGGAACAAGTCTACCATGGGGGAAATTCTCATGTATTTTAAATGAGAGCAGGGAAAAAGGTATAGGTTGACTCTTCTTACTTCTTTCCTTATATCCAGTCCCATGTTCACTCTGTTTATTTTACTTACTGGAGTCTTTGATCAGTTTATCCAGAAATTCTAGGACTAGAGGGGGTGATGTAACATTTAGAAGCATTCTGTTCCCTCTTAAGGGGCCAAAGAACAACAATGCCAACTTCTCCATATACAGATCAGAACATAATTGGTCTCTTCCTTCGGTTAACCAAAGCTCACCAGAACCTGCTGAGTATCAGTGCATATAAAGACATGCCCCACCTAGATCTTTGCCTTTTGGGCTACTTGGGGGTCAGAGAGAGAGAGAGACACCAATGTGTAATATTCCTGCTGTGACAAATGACATTCCCCTGTTCCATTGCTCCCTGAAGATACCTGGAGTCCCGTAATCATAGCATCATCTCTAGAGCTTGACCACCAGGCTCCTGCTGGTGTTTTGCTATAGCCATTCTCCAAGAGCTCTGTACACCATCCAACTCTGATTTTACACATTCACATTTTCCTCTCCCACACAGAAGACATTAAGTATGCTGCACTCTCCTCCTCTGACCCAGGAAATTATGCTCATTTTTTTTTCTCCATTTAGCTAATAGGTTTCCCAGGGCCAATTGTCATATGTAATAATCCTCAGTCAGGCAGCGAGAAACTGTTCCTACTCAACATAGAGGTGGAAAGCGACTTGTCCATGCATGAGCTTGGGGGAAACCTATGCACTCTGGGCTGTAAGAGCTGGGGGCTGGGGCTCCTGGAAGGGCTGTTGTACTTTTGGCTTTCAGCCTTATCTCCTCACCTCTTGCCCTGGAGGTCTATGTACACGTATGCTGTGAAGACCGACAGGGATTCTCTGCCTCTCCTGCCCTTCCTGCTTGAGGGGAATTGTCTCTTTGGAGCATGTCACATTTAGTGTATGCTCATTGGCCAAGGGTAGATTTTAGGTGCTCTTATCTCCTAATCACCTCATAGTAATATTGAAAATGAGGTTCCTGCCTATAATCCCAGCTACTTGGGTGGCAGAGATAGGAGGATCAGGGTCACCGAGCAACATATAAGGCTCTGCCTGAGGAAGTGGCGCTGTAGCTCAAGTCGTAGAGCACTAGCCTTGAGCTGAAGAGCTGAGGGACAGCGCCCAGGCCCAGAGTTCAAGCCCTATGACCGACAAAAAAAAAATAAACTAATAAGACTCTGCCTGAAAAGTAATGAAAGCAACAAAGGGCTGAGGCTGTCACTTAAGTTGTAGAGTGTCTGCCTAAACCCTAGCACCACAAGTAAATGATGAACAC